GATAAGAGGTTAGGGTACGGATTACTCAATCTTAATACGGTTAAATTATACATTTATTTATTTATATTAAATGGCAAGCGTTTTGATAGTTACTATTAGCACTTTAGTTAACTTCAGGCTTTACAGAGAAGAATGAATATCAAAGTGAAAAAAAGTCGAGGGGGGGGGACAGAAGAATATTTCAGAGATGTAAAAGAGGCAGACACAAAGGTAGAGTGAAAAGGTGAGGTGAGTACTGTGGAAGTAGTCGAATATGACATACAGTGGAGTGATGGTAGTTTGAAGTCAGAAGTCAACTACCAGTTTATAGACTTGTTTGCCGGATGAGTATGCGTTGCCCAGGGTGCACCATGTGGATGTAAGTTATCGAACACCCCTTTTCATTATCATCGAATCAAAATAGCTCATTCGGAATATTTTGCCATGGAGACTACTCTGGATAAGTTGAGGGCTATTCATATAGTAATCATCTGCATCTGCGGCACAAACTAGAATCTCCTTACTTAATGCTAATTGTATGTTGAAAGCTTGCGAAATGAATTCCTTTTTTACTGCGAAAATTACTGATGTTTGAGAACTTGAGTCTGTGTAAGTGTTCAACCCAGAGCTCCAGTAGATTTACAGAAATTCTCCAAGGAAGAAAATAAAAAGAAACCCTGAGCGAATATATTAAAGAATCAATATTGATTATATATTTACTGCATAAAGATATTGATGGCATAAATATAATTGGCATGTAAAGTTTCTTTTATAAAGCGGGTAGTATTAGCACTTTTTTCCTATTTTGACTTATTAAAATCAGGACAGATTGCTCCAAAGGTGTGAGCTAGACAGGGCCACACAGCCCTCCATCGTACTATCACTGTGGTGAAGGAGAAAGCATATTAGGGAAACACAGTCCTGAACACTGCTTCTTACATAACTCCTGGTACGTTCAGTATTTTGCGTCCACTTTGAGAGAGCATAGTTTTCAACTCAATTGGACTTTTCAGGACTTAATGCCTGCATGCATTTGCACTTTGCCTAACGTCATCAGCCATATTCGTCCGATTGCAGAAGAGAAGGTCTCTAATGAAAAAGGTGCCCGTGTGGTTGCCTATAAAGTTGCTCTAATCCCGAGGAAAAGACACTTTAGAAACTAAGCCAAATTAGGGTAGGCATTGCCTCCTAGAAGCAATAGCTTTCCCAAAGCTTTCACGAAATAACAGAATTATCATAAGTTTGAGGCGCTTTTGGACGGAAGTTGTCGCGTGGGTTTATTGAACAAATGAAAGTGAAGGGAAAAGAAAAAATGGGGTGGGAATAGAATGCAAGAGAGATGTATTAACACTGTCCCATGGCTATCCAGGTTGTGAATTAGAGAGGAAGAGGGGGAAACGGGGATTAGGGTGGCTGATAAGGGTAAGTACTGAAGAAGGGGCAACCGAAAAGTGATGAACTAGTCAAATTTGGTAAAATAAGGTATTATTTGTCTACTGACAGCTTAGGCAAAGTTATCAGCCAGAAGGCACCCAAAACACAAACAGGGTTTGAGATTTTAACATTAAGAAGTGGTGTCAATCTTGTGGTAAGCGTTACAGAACTGTTATTTGGTAGCGTTTGGAGGCATTTTTCCTCGAAAGAAGAAAATAGAAAAATTTAGTAGTTAAATACAATGAGACTTTTAAACAAAAAATGTCAAAATCGTTGAAAACGATAAGAAAAATATGAGTTTGCTGTCAAGACTACAGAAGTCAATCAATTTCACTTTAATAAATAAACAATAAGTAGTTTATCGATAGTTCCCAAAAAAGGGTGAGATGTAAAGACTCACGTTTCCTAAAATTGTCCCTCAACTCACAACCATAATTTGAACTGGTTAGTAAAATTAAATAATTAAAGATGAAGTCAAAGCTGAGGTATTCAGTTTGTCATAACAAACATGACCTCTCAAATTGTACGAAACTGAAACATCGCAACGTAAATTGCAATTTTCACCTAATAACTCCCTCCATTTGCATAAATCGGGTTTGCCAAATTACGGATGAAAAAGGGAAAGGCCTTGTTCAGTCCTTGTATTTCTCTAGTTTCCCAGTATTCAACTGCAAATAGCAAAAAAAGGAATTACATGAAACTTAATATTTAAAAGCGTCCAACCGCGTTCTCTTGTAATAATCGATAGTTTAGCCGTTAAGTCTAACCTTAAATTCATTAAATAAACAAGTCTGGGGTTAGCTTAATGTATCTTAGGGTGTTTTCGTATCTGATATATGCCATTGAAAGGTTGCGCAAATAGTTATTCATATTCAAATATGTTATTTGTATTTTAATCTTAATGAAATCTATGAATTAGTAATATTTATTCCGCTTTAATTGGAAGCTTTAAAGCTTTTGGACTTTAAAAATCATATCAAATCTGCCTTTAAAACATTTAGCGGGAATTAGTTGGGGTGCTATTCCATCCATCTTGACACAAAATTTGATGTGGTACACTGAATGCTTCTTTACTTTCATTGAAACATATTTCAGGAGGAACAAATTGCACCAAAGCACTACTCGGCAAGTTGATCATTAAAAATTAAGAAAAAAAGCTATCTAAACTTCTGATCTTGGATACCAGAGTCAGTAACATATTTATTTATTTATTTCAAATGGTAGGCGTTATGATAGGTATCATTAGCCCTTTAGTTGACTTCGTGCTTCACAGAAAGGAAGAGGAACACCAAAGTGGCAAAAAGTTGAGAGGGGGGGACAGAATAATGATTCACAGACGTAAAAGAGACAGACAGACACAAAGGTAGAAAAAAGGTGAAGTGTGTACTGTGAAATTAGTCGAATATGAAATGCAGTGGGGTCTTAGTAATTTGAAGTCAGAAGTCAACTGCCGATTAATAGACTTTTTTGCCGTATGAGTATACGTTGCCCAGGGTGCACCACGCGGAGGTGAGTCTATCGCACACCCCGAGTCAGTAACATAAAGTCAGCATTCAAATCACAAGAGGCTTTGATTTTCAAGAGCTTCAAGTAATGGTAATTTTCATGATCCATAGGGAATTGGATTCGGAAATGGTTAATCGTTAGAAGTGAGCACGAAGATAATACAATTTGAGTATTTATTGAAGGGAACCAATAAATAGAGTTAAAACAGAAATCGAGTAGAAGCGATAAACCATTGGTGCACTTACGGCATAGTGCAAATGATGGACAGCTCATTAGTTGTCTGGCTGTCTAGGCTTTCTAAAAGAGCTATTTTAAACTGGCATCCTAATGTTAGGGAAAAGCTACATTGACCCCCTCTAATTTACCAACCCTTCATTAATTCAGTGCCACAAAGATTAAAATTCACGAGGCTGTTCAGTCTAGTTACAACATTCAGGCACAAAAGCTGGGTAATTGTAGTCGGCATGTAGTACATCCTCGGTGTCCCCAAAGAGAAGATCAATCAAATTGTGACACAAGAAAAACTAGTCACCCTATTTTTATCAGATTAACAATACCCCTGCATCGCACTCTTTTGGTACCAATATTATTTATCCCAACTCTCTTTTTTCCCCTACGATCACATAAATTAAAGAACGAGCAAGCACGTAGGCCTGAAACCCAAATTTTCAATTTTTGATATCGACTATATCGCGTCGACCATAATTTATCAAATAAGGAAATATTAATTAGTTGGAAAATCATCTTCACCGAACCCTCAATTTTATTTTTTTTCCGTAATTCCGAATGATCGACGTATGCTCTAAAGTTGACTTAAAATGCAATGGATATAAATGTAAAAATCCTCTGGAATATACCATATAAGAGCAAAAAGAAGACCTAATGAGAAATCACGCCTGCAGTTTGGTAGCGAACCAAGAAATTGGCACCGCAACAATTAAGTACAGAGCCTAGCAAATTCATGCATGGAATGGGTGGACGTACTTCTACGAAAATACAAATCAAAACACAAGAGAAAGGCATACTAATCAAATAGTTCTACTATATAGACAGGTTCACTAAAATGTCACAGGAATGTCAAAGGGGGGAGATGACGTTGAAATGGAGAAAGTTGAGGGAGACAGTGAAAAACGAAGAGAATTTCAACGAGTACATCAAATCACGAACAATTCTTCTGTTGTTGCTCCGCATCATTAAGGCGACCAGCTATAGTCTCTGGCACTGCGAAGTATTCCATACCAGCAGTGTTTATGATACAAATGTGCTGGGGGGTAGAAAAGTACCAGAGAATAAAACATTGTAAAAGAGGAAGATAGCAAAGTAGTATAAATCATGGTTAACTTACATGGAGGTCCCTAAAGAAATCGTTATAGTCCAAAGCGTAACCAACAACAAAATGATCAGGAATTTCAAACCCAGCGACTGAAATAAAAAGACAAAATGGTATTTTCTCTTCATTTATCTAAGGCACTAATATCGGATAATTAAAACATACAAAGAGGGCGATAACCATTGCTAGCGGGTGTTCTTTTCACTAGAAGACTAAAAAGAAGAAAAATTGATTAAAATACACTTAATTAGAAGTGAAAAGGCACTATAATTAATCAAAATACCTAACATCTGTAATAGACTTGACCTCTAAGGACTTCAGATAAGAATGAAGCTTTTTCATGGTCCTACCAGTATCGATAATATCTTCAATAATTAGAATATCTTTTCCTTTGTAATCCTGCGGATTTTCGACGCCAACTAGAGCGATATCATCACCGGAGGAGGCATTCTAATAAAAGGGCGTTATTATAAAATCATTTACATACCACATAGCTGCGAATTCTGACAAAATCCGGTTTAATATTAATCGCAGTTCCACGAGCACGAATAGTCCGCTCCATCGCATCAACAAGATCGGCACAGAATCTGAATCCTCCTTTAAGAACACAGATAGCTGTGAGGTTTTGAACATTGGCCCTTTCATAGTGTTCCACAATTTCAGAAGCAACTTTCTCGATTCGATCTTTAATTAAGCCATTCGGAATCATCATGCTGTCAAGAAAGTTTTGATATTTAGGAGAAATACAAAAATGGTCGATATTGAGAGCTTGGTAATCGTCAGGAATAACAACCACAGAAATGGGATGGCCATGAGGATGGGTTTGCATTTTAACGCGGAAAAATATAAGAATAAAAATAAATCTAAAATAAAAAAATTTGCAAGATAGTTTCCTGTTATTTATAGTAAAGGTATGATGTATAGAAGATAAACTAATATGTCACCACAAGAGCAAGCAGACCACACTTATTAAATAACGCGAAGCAAGAAGGGACCTAAAGAAAATCCGTAATAAATAGGTAGTTTAAACAACATCCCTTAATATCATTTATTATCCATGACAGATTTCCCAAACATATAAAAATGTAATATTTGCCATTAAAACCCGTTTTATTCTTAATGTTCCATTCAAAATTTATAATAAGGCTGTGTAATTTTCAGTTTAATTATTGAATTTTTGAAGACATCTTTGAAGAATAATTTTTTAAAACAGCAATACTAACTTTATGATTTCGTGATCTATTGGAACAAAACTTAAAAATACTTTTATAACCATAAGAATCACTTTGAAATGACCAAAGCAATCAAAAGCTCCATAAACTATCAAAGAATTTGGTTGAATATCAATTTATGATTATATAGCTTATACAAAAATTCACCATTACTACTACTGTGAACTATATTTTCACTGCTATTTGCGTTTTTTGTTTTATTTCAGGATGAATATAGATTAAACGAAGGTCGACCGAGTGGTGTAAAACTGTGATTTTAAGCATATAATATTGTATGAAATCTTTGATTTTTCTAAACACTTATGTATTCGAATTCAGCAGTTATTCTTACAGTCAAATTAATACGACTTAAAGATTAAATGCAGTTGAAAATTCAAATTGATTTGACTTCATATCATGAAACAGTGGTCAACTGCTTTGGAATTAGTTTTAGTTCATCCCCTCTGTCATTTAAAATGAAACACAAAATTGAATTATCATCAGACAAATGGTTATTTGGTCATTTTTAGCTCTCTGCATTAGTGGTCCGCTAAATTCGTCACTAAAATGATAAATATTTATCTCTGTCTAATTACTCAGTGTCATTAAAATTTAGCAAAAAAACAATTCTTGTTAACACTATTAAGTAGAATTTTAAAAATAATAAAATTCGGCTAATCACGTACAAGAAAGAATATATTTATTCATAAACGCAGTAAATCGATGAATCCGTTTCGGTAAACTGACCACCTTCTAAATGTCTGGGCTGTACTAAATATAGATATATATTTATTACTAGTAAAATACAACTATTTCAATGTTTCGAAATAGATATTCGCGAAATCATATATACGTACGTGCTAAAGTTAATATAAAGTAAATTTGTTCAGAAATTTAAGAAATGCAGTATTATTTAAACATATATCACGAGTTAATTATATGATGTAAAAATGTGTGCAGCTATTGAAAAAATTAATATCTAGCAATTAATTATTTCGCAGTATTTGAAAATGAAAGCAATTAAAATGAAAATGAAGTGAGGTAATTATATTCAATGCAGCAATGGTTCATTTAGTGCAAACCAAAGTTTAAACTGAAATATCATCAGTAAAGATGTGCTAAAATTATTACTTAACATAAAATTCATACATATTGGAATTTCATCAGTTTCATCGTAATGTAGTATTGCGTAATGAAATCAACTTATTTTATCGTTTACACACATATATGAGAATTTATCTTTAAAAAATAAAAAAATAACCCCAACTTTGTTAATATTTTTAATACCTCAGAGAAGTGTAGCTTGCAAATTTCAGCGTCATAAATCAAATTCCGCTTTATATTCTGTGCGTAATCAAGTTAAACAGTTTATTCTCATAAATAACCAATTCAGTCAATGTTAGCTAGAAATTGAATATTATGACAGTTCGGAAAAAATAAATTTTTGGTCATATAGAATGTTTTTAAAAAAATTATACCATTATTCAGTTTAAATTATTACTTGGTACCAATCTATGACCTAGAATATTGAGCACAAGGGCTTAACGTGCACAATTTGGAAATCAAGAAGGCGGGTTTTGTGAATATTACTGTGTTCGCTGTTATCATAATTGTGATGCTTAAAACATTGTATTTCCGGCAAGTTGCAATCTTTCCTTGGGCACATATTATTAATTTTCTGATAATTTTGAACTGTTTTTCATTTTCTTAATGTATATTTTGTTTTTTCTCTTTCTGAGTTTGAAATTTACATTTGCCGCCTAAAGTAGATTTTATCCAAGCCAATGATGTTCGTGGATTTTTATTAGCAAATGACCTTAGGGTATTGAAAATTCAATTTTTCTTTTATAACTATTTTTCGATAAATTTATTATTTTATATTTTACTACAGCTTGACTTCTATTTTCAATCGAAGTACATTTTTGGCATTGTATCCTCTTTTTTATTTGACGTAATATGGATTTTGATCTGATATTTTTTTGTTCTTACAGGCCAGAATTTAATTAAAATTTAGTTGTAATGGTTAAAAAGCGTCCGTTAAGAAGTGCGCAATCAGCATTCACATCGCGGATTCGCCTCTTCTCTCCCGAATCTTTGGACTGCGCCCGTTACATATCTTGTGTTCTAAGTGATGCAAAATGCGATTTACTATCGGAGAAATTTTTTATGCTCTCCTCAGAATTTCCGGTTGTGGAACTTGATACTTCAAAATTAAATCATAATCATCATTCCAGAAATTTCAAAAATCATGCTCCTATTTTACGTCTTCCTCGTATAAATTTTAAAAATAAATCACCAGATTCCTCCCAACATTACGTTCTTATCTCCAATAACTCTTTGGATTTTCCTCTTTCCTCTAATTCGGAGAATAATGGTACAAATGGCCCAGTCTCTGTGGATTTAGTTGATTTGAGTGCAAAGGAGTTAGCTGAAAGGGAAGCGACGGTTAATAAAAAGGTTAAGCAACTCAAAGCAAAGGGTCTATGGATGAGAGATCGGTTACCGAAGGTTATGGAACCCCAACGATCTCTGTCCCATTGGGATTTTTTTCTCGAAGAGGCTTTGTGGCTTGCTGAGGATTTTAAGCAGGAACGAATGTGGAAGAAAGCTATGGCTATAAGGGTACGTTCTGCCCTATTTCAATAAGCTTTTCGTTATATAAGTTTTGTTTTATGACACATTTGAACTTTCATATTTATCTTTAAGGTTTATTATGTAATTGTTAAGTTTATGTCGTAGCTGGTTTTAAAATCAAATAAATATTTACGTGTGTGTTCTGTTAGTTCTGTTGTTTGATTGTATTATTTGACATGAACGCCAATTCTATTTGTTTCTAATGTATTTTGACTGTTAACTGTATGTAAGCGGTTAGGGATCAGGGGAATATTTTTCCATGGCTTTGGTTTTGTGATTTTATGTTTCATGAGTAAGTGATTATTCAGTAAAGATTTCTTATCATAGGGATGCCGTTTTTGCCAGTAGTCGACTTTTTTATTAACATAACAGTCTTCACATGTAATGTATTCACATAATTGTTTTATTCCATTTATGAAACAAAGTTCAGTGTGTCCTATCCGTTGTCTCCGTAAGAGGTCATTTAATCTTGCTGACGACTTTGGTTAGAGACCACTTTTATTATTACTGCTGACAGTAGTTGAAGAATTTTTTCCTGAAGAATACGTTAAAACTCAGAAACAGAAAGATTGCGTGAGGGTTTTAGGATAGATCAGCTCTATATCTATACTTTAAGTAATGTATTTTGCATATTCTCGTCTTAATGTCTATTTCGTTTCCTAACTTTTCTCTACACAATAGCAGTAAGGTGCATCGGAATTTGTTCACTGTTCTGTGTGGGGCAGGGGGGGGGGGAGGGAGTTGAATTTTAACTATAATTTAAGTATTGAAAGTCATCGTAATTTTTTTGATTAAATGCGTATTCTCAAGAGCAAGTTAACGTATGTTTTGTTTTTGTCACTCTTCTATTCCATTGGTCTGCATAGGTGCATTTTATTCTTTTAGCTGGCCAATGAAGCCTCTTTGGCAGTCATGATTCGCTCCGAATTAGCTCGGCGTGAGGCATTGGAACTAGAACTCCTTCGTCAGCACGGTGCAGCTAAGATTGCTCAACTCATCCGTGAGTGGTGGTCGGGAATCTCCAAAGCCCCTGGTGTGGCCTCCCTCCTCTCG